CTTCCATTGATTCAATTCTACTCCTTTGCCCATTCAATGTGTTATCTGTTTCTGAAAATTTAGTATTAATCTTCTGGATTTCTATCTGTAGATTTTGTATAATTTCTAATTTTTCATTTATTTTGTCATTTTGTTCTTGTATTGTCTTTCAAAATTGTTCTAGGGTTTTCTGTTTTGTCCGTATTTTCCTTGATCTGTATCTCAATCTGTTGAAGATACCTAAATATAATTCTGTTGAATTCCTTATCAGAGAGTTCCAACGCTACTTCTTCCTCAGGGATGTGTTCTGGGTCTGTATCCTGTTCCTTTGTTTCTCCTGGTTTATCTTGTTTTTGTGTGGACTATGATGCTCTGTTGTCTCTGAGACATTGTGATGTTTTGTGTTTGTATATAATTGGTGATTGTATGTTGGAGTGACTTGCCCACAATTTTTGTTTTCTTTGGATGTTATGTACATAAGCAGGGTACTGTGCTCCTCTATTCTCTAATTGGCAGCACTTATACACTCACCACCTGTCTCCTTTCCCATTGTCAGCCTCCCATATGTTCCTGCTGTCCTTGGCAAACAGAGCATATTCTTAGGTCCCTGGAATCTGAATGAGAATGCTGTTACTTTAAATATCCAAAATGGCCACTACTTGTAAGCAATCAAAATGGCTGTGTCCTCTGGACAGCCGAAAGTCCACAGCTCAGGGTGTCTCCCTCCTTGCTGTTTCCCTTGCCAGTCATAGGCCACCAGTGCATTCATCCCTGCAGCCCTTGGCGACCAGGGCTGATCTTTAGGTCAATTCTCAGATCCCAACACCACTTGGAAATATTCAGGCTGTTGGTGCAGTCAGAGTAGCTGACAGTCCACAGCTTCATCGGTCTCTGTACTCAATGTTTTCATTCAGGTTTTTCCACTAGTTGATGCCTAATCCACTTCTGCATAGTTTCTTTCAAAGCTCAGGACTCCAGGATTATCTTCTGTATCTCTCCCAATTGCTTTCTCTTTTCTTTGTTCAAGAGGGTCTGTGTAGCTTGTCTACCTATTTCATCTTACCGGAAGTCCTCCGAAACCCATTTTTAATTTAACAAACCTTACAGAATAAGCCTGACATGTAGTGAGGACTGTTAAGTGATTTACAAATAATATTTCATCTAATATGCAAAACAACCCTCTAAGGTAGACACTATTATTACCCCCATATTACAAATGATGACAGTGAAGAACAGGAAGATTAATTTACTAATCTATGTTCTTATTCATATTTCTTGCCATAATCGCAAATGTTTTAAAATTAGGCTAACGTAGTTAGAACCTCTAAGTTTTTTAAAAACTCAACACCTTCCAAAGTGAAGAAGTACATATTGTCTTGGGTAACTTCATTTTTCCCAAACTCAGAATATCGAGAATTGAAAAATAAATACCCTGACAACCTTGAAGATTGCTTTAGTCCTGCCTCCTATTTGAAATAATTCCAATACATTGTCAATTAGTAAGGATCCAAGCAATGGATCACTTTAATATATAATATTGCCTGTTCCAGAAATACATTATTTTTCTTTAACATTGGTAACTCAGTTTTAGAGATAGCTGTTCTTAAGTTTAAATGTTTGTTCTTAGTTTTACTAAATTATAAACTCTTTGTCAAATTCTAAAAGTAAGCTTTCCACTATAGGTTATGGCCATTGCACCAACCCATTACATATGGCAACGAGAGCGCTCCGTGCATCACAGTGGAGCTGTGAGAAATTACAACAGAGATGAAGTTCAACTGCCTCGAGGACCTAGTGCCACACCAGTAGATTGTTCACTCTGTGGTAAAAAAGGAAGATATGTTAGACTGGGATTGTCTTCATCGTCATCTTCATCCAGTGGTACAGTAGAAGTGATGGAAAACCATTCTCAGGACTCACACAACTCATTCTCAATGGACAAAGTAGTTGACCCTTCTCGAGGTTATAGCTATTCTCCAGGTATGATTTAGTGATACATCAGAATTAGATTTAGGCACATTGTTTTCTGAGCACTAGTCAGTCCTTACAGGCAGAGATACATAATTTATATACTAGAACAATATGAGTTAAATTAGTAGTGAAAGTTTTCCCTTCATTTACCACTTTTTGTCCTATATTTGTAGTACCTGTCTTGTTTTGTAGTAGCCTACGTAAATTAAAAGTATTTTTACTGTGACATATGTTAAAATGAAATTTAATACACCATAAGCCTCAAATATTTTAACTATTAAGTATTTTAAGAGCCTGAACCATTTTTCTCTGAAATATTTATTTTATTCAAAAGGGGTTGCAAAAAGAAAATAAATTTACTTGTAATCTCATTATCCAGCTTTATTGACTGGTTAACTATTATGTTTCCTTCTATATACTTGTCTGTTTCTATTTTTAACAAAACTAAACTACATCTAGGCCTGCTTTTTCTCCCCCCACTTACAAAGCATGTCCCGTGCTATTAAATAGTCTTTTAAAATTTGATTTTTAATCATGACATGGTATATGTACCATAATTTAGTTGCATTTTTCATTTTTGTTGGGTTTTAAGTGGCTTTTACATGGTATCTTAATTAGAAAATAACCATATGAACTGGAAATACTTTTAGTCAATCACACTATAATTTTCACCAAAATTATTTTATAATGATAAAGCATTTTTTGACACATCTCTTCTAGATTTGAAACTATAATATTCTACTAGTAGTGATCCTTTTTACTTCTTATAAAACCTTTCTTCCAGAACTTGACCCATCTGAAGACTCCAATTTCTTATTATCCTTTTTATTTTAATGATGAAAAATTAAACAGTCCTGCATTATTTGATTTCCACTTAAATTTTTACCACATCCCTATGAGATGACCAGTAGCTACTGAAGTTTTACTAAGACTAGACTCCAAGTCATTACTGTTCCCTGTTGTTGTTGTTAAGTGCCGTCGAGTTGTTTCCGACTCATAGTGACCCCATGCACAGCAGAACGAAACACTGCCCGATCCTGCACCAGCCCCACAATCCCTGCTATACTTGAGCCCATCATTGCAGCCACCATGTCAATCCATCTCGTTGAAGGCCTCCCCCTCTTGCATTGACCCTCCACCCTACCAAGCATGACATCCTTCTCCAGGGAATGGTCCCTTCTTACAACATGACCAAAATAGGTGAGACGAAGTCTGGCCATTCTTGCTTCCAAGGAGCATTCTGGCTGCACTTCCTCCAGGACAGATCTGTTAGTTCTTTTAGCAGTCCACGGTACTTTCAGCATTCTTCGCCAGCACCACAACTCAAAAGCATCAACTCTTCTTCGGTCTTCCTTATTCATTGTCCAGCTCTCACATGCATATGTTGTTGTTGTTATGTGCCGTGGAGTCGGCCCCGACTCATAGCGACCCCTCCTTGGGTTTCCGAGGCAGTATCACTACGGAAGTAGGATTGCCCAACCTTCCTTCCGAGGAGCGGCTGGTGGGTTTGAACCGCCAGCCGTCTGGTTAGCAGGCAAGTGTCTTAGCCACTATGCTACCAGAGCTATGAGGCGATTGCAAATATCATGGCTTGTGTCAGGTGCACCTTAGTCCTCAAGGAGATATCCTTGCTCCTCAGCACTTGATACAGTTCCTTTGCAGTTGACTTTCCCAATGCTACACGTCGTCTAATGTCCTGACTGCTGCTTCCGTTGGCATCGATTGTAGAACCAAGCAACGTGAATTCTTTGACAACCTCAATCTTCTCTCCATTTATTGTGATGCTGCTCATTGGTCCAGTTGTGAGGACTTTTGTTTTCTTTATATTGAGACGTAATCCATACTGCAGACTGTATTCTTCAACCTTCATCAGTAGGTGCCTTAAGTCATCCTCACTTTCAGCAAGCAAAGTTGTATCGTCTGCATATCTCAGGTTGTTAATGATTCTTCCTCCAATCCTGATACCACGTTTTTCTTCATATAGTCCAGCTTCTCGGATTATTTGCTCAGCATATAGATTGAGTAAGTGTGGAGAAAGGATACAACCCTGACGCACTCCCTTCTTGATTTTAAACCATGTAGTGTCCGCTTGTTCTGTTTGAACGACAGCCTCCTGGTCAAGGTACAGATTCCTCATGAGTACAATCAAGTGCTCAGGAATTCCCATTCTTCTCAATGTTATCCATAATTTGTCATGGTCCACACAATCAAATGCCTTTGCATAGTCAATAAAACACAAGTAAACATCTTTCTGGTATTCTTTGCCTTGAGCCAAGATCCATCTGACAACAGCTATGATATCCCTTGTTCCACGTCCTCTTCTGAATCTGGCTTGAACCTCTGGAAGTTCTCTGTCAATATATTGCTGCAAACGTTTCTGAATTATCTTCAGTAAGATCTTACTTGCGTGCGATATTAATGATATTGTTCTATAATTTCCACATTCTGTGGGGTCACCTTTCTTTGGAACGGGCACAAACTAGACTCCACAAATTCAACTGACAGTATAACAAAAACTTACTGCCCATCAAGTCAAATAGTTTCTTCCTTTTCAACATCTTCAAGCAAAATATTTTATTGGTTCACTCATATATTTGAAAGTAAACAGGGTCCACTATAGGCAAAATTATAAAATAAGAATTGCCTTTCAATGCCCCTCCTGTCCTCCTCTATGTCCTTTTGCCTACACTCTTTGATCCTTATCATAGGTAAGATTTACTAGGTGTTTAAAATATTTCAGACAATGTGGAAGCACCTGATAACCATCTATGCTAAGCTTTAGCATAAAACCTTAGAGCAGAACATTAGCTCTCTGTCTGCATTGGGTTTTCTGCAACCATATACAAGTTGTGATCCATTCAGGTCTGACATTCATAATCTCATTTGATATTCACAGCCAACCCTAAATACAGCTGACCCTTAAAAAGCACAAGGGGAGGGAGGAATTTAGGGGTGCCATAAAAAAAAAAAAGAAAAAAAAACTTACTGCTGTCGAGTCAATCCCATCTCATAGTGACCCCTGCTTGGGTTTCCGAGGTGGTATTTCTACGGAAGTGGATTGCCCAGTCTTCCTTCCAAGGAGTGGCTGGTGGGTTTGAACTGCCAGCCTTCTGGTTAGCAGTCAAATGCCTTAGGCAGTGCACCACCAGAGTTCCCATATGCAGCTGAAATTCTGTGTGTAATTTCTGATTCTCCAAAAACTTAGCTACTAATAGCCTGTTGACCAGAAGCCTTACCAATAACACAGTTGATTAACAGTTCTTGCTGAACAGTTATTAGATTTTTACATGAAGACATGCATGTACAAAACAGTAATTTTATTAACTACACAGCATGATGGTTATTTACTGTTTATTAAGTGGCACTACATCATCCTCGCCTTTATCCTTGTTGTCGTCTTCACATTGAGTATGATGATGAGGAGGAGTTGGGTTATGCTGCCTTGGGGTGGCAGAGGTAGAGGAGGTAGAAGGGAAGACAGGAAAAGCAGGCACACTCAGTGTTAAAAGTGTATAGAAATACATTGCAATTTCTGTCTCACATTGTTGCTTTTTCATTTCTCTAAAAATGTTTCTTTATGGCACCAATCCTTCCACCATTTGCTTTAGTTTCAGTGTCTGTATCATAGACCAAAAAAAAAAACCCAAACTCACTGCCATCAAGTTGATTTTAACTCATAGCAACCTCTGCTGGGTTTCTGAGGTGGCAAATCTTTACAGAAGTAAGATTTTCTCATCTTTCCTCCACGGAGGGGCTGTTGGGTTGAACCACCAAACTTCTGGTTAGCAGTCAAATGCCTTGGGTACTATGCCTCCAGAACTCCTTATATATTATAGAAAGGTCCATATTATAAAAGTCAAAAGCAATCTTAAATAATCAGAACCCATCTGCCAGACTGTCTATTGTCAATTTGTTTTCTGGCACTGCTTCTTCTACATGACCTTCCTCATTGTCTGGCACTGGTTCAGAAGCACTCATCTCCATCAAGTCGTCTTCTGATAACTCCTCTTGTGTTGTATCTATTAGCTTTTGGATTTCTCCAAGATCCCCATCTTGAAAAAAATCTTGCATATCCATTGACTTGCACAGTTCAAACTGTGTTGTTCAAGAGTCAGTTGTATTATTATTTCTATTTTACAGGTGAGGAACTGAGGCTTAGAGAGGTTATCTGCCCAAGGTGATGAAGCTATATTTGAACATAGTTTGGTCTGACTCTAGACTAGGGCCTGACTAGCCACTATGGTGTGGTGGCATAGAGGATAAGGCACTTGACTGCTAACCAGAAAGTCAGCGGTTCAAACCCACCAGATACTCTAAGGAAAGAAGACTGGGCAATCTACTTCCAGCCTTGGAAACCCAATGGGGATCACTATGAGTTGGAAATGACTTGATGGCAGGGAGTTTGGTTTTTCTGGTGTGCTCTACTGCTCCCTTTGATGAAATCCTCCCTTTGGTGGTAAAAGGATTAAGAACCAAGTCCCTAGTGAAAGGCTGTATGGAGTAAGTTGGAGAGAATTCCAACAATGGATAATTAGCACAAATTTACAAAAAACAGAAGCAATTATATTTTATTCAGACTAACCCCTGCAGATGTTAAGAGAGTAGCAACACAATGTATGTTTTAGGCCGTGACATTTTTGCATCCAGGGAGAAAGGGATAGAATGAAAACCCTGGAGTTCTAGTTTAGGATTAACAGGTCCTATATAGGAAGGAACAAGGAGCTCTGGTGGTGTAGTGGGTAAGGCATTTGGCTGCTAACCAGAAGGTCAGCGATTCAAACACACCAGCTGCTTTACAGGAGGAAGATGACAATCTACTTCTGTATAGATTTACAGCTATGGGAATCGTTATGAATTGGGAACAACTCAGTGGCAGTGGTTTAGTGGGTTATATAGAAGGAACAAGTATTTATTCTCCACTGCTTTATTCTGAATTTAACTCATGGTTAAAATAAAAACCATCTGTTACTGATGACACACATATACTTGACTAATACATTTATTTTCCT